TAATGGCACAGCAGGCCTCCCTCCACACACACACAGGCCTCATTTCCCTGCATTTGAATGGAGCTCTGGCTGGGGACCGCAGCTCAGGATTTTCTGCTTGGTAGGCCAGGGTTTTGTCCAAGGAATTGTGCTCGTATAAAGGTAGAAAATTGTACCGTGGAAGAGTCCTTTTTTATGACTGCAAAAGGCACAAATGCACACATAGTGCTTTGCAAAGAAAATGTAAATGTATTCTTTCCATTAGGGCTGCACAATATTGGATAATTTAGCGATTTGCAGTATGGCTATTAAGAACTGGGATATAGATACTATCAAGAGAATTACATATATTTTTGACTCGATCATTTCAGTCCAAGTACAAATACTTGCTTTAATTTTTAGCCGTTTTTATAAGAGACACATGTTAACCCTACAAACATAATAAAAATCTCCACCACAAACAATATATATCACATGTGAGTTTATGATGTTTGTGGTTTCAAACGTGCTGTCCCACAAACATAATACATTCTCACAAACATCATGTAGTGTTTATTGGTGAATTATGAACTACTGGCTACAAGTTATAATATATTTTAAACCATTATGTGGGTATATTAATTATTATTAATGTAATTTGTTTGTTTGTTTGTTTGTTTGTTTTTTCTTAGTCTGTAATGTTATAATTCTAATCTCGGCAGTACAGTTGAAAATAGAACATGTGTTATTCAGATATGCTCAAGTTTCCAGATTTCTTTTTTCATTTACAAGAAATGAGGAGGTAAATATATTGACTGTTAACATTGTACTATGAACTAAAAATGTAAATGTACAAATGGAATGGAAGTTACCTAATTTATAATCTTGAAACTCACTTCCAAAAAAAAAAGTCTTTCACGCCATAGTAGGTCAAAAGTCTTGAATATCAGATCTTTATTAACACCAGTGAGATGAAAATAAATATATTAAATCAATTTTTATGGTGATTTGAAGGTGCCATAAGAGATTTTCATCAATTTAATGTAAAAATACTCACTTGAATCACTGGGATAGTTAACACAGTTATTTTTAATGACCATTTAACATTAAGAAAATATTGTTTTCAGTTTGACAGGTTTGCTCTTCATATGATACAGTACAATTATTCCTCCAAATGAGGAGGATGCCGTTCTCACTTATATATGAGTGGCAGATGGGGGTTAATTATTTCTGAGAAAACCTTTGATGTTTTTCAGACTTGTCCCAATAGCAGCTCGAGGTCTTTGATTGTTCCTCATAATGGAATTGTAACAGCTAGAGGATCGTGGATACTCCTCAGACTTGTTATTACAGATGCTACAGGACAATAGTGACCGCCAACATGTGTTCCATCCTAGACTCACACCAAATAAGGTGGATTCATTGCAAATGCATTCATCATGACTAGAGACCCTTAACATGATGTGTACCAAAAACCGTAGTCCTGGATTATATTTAAATTAGGGGTGTCAAATTATCGCGTTAATTGCGATTAATTAATTACAGTCATATTTAGCACGTTATGTTTTTTAATCACGTTAATCTCATTTTTAATCTCTAACTTTACTGTTTCTGTATGCGAGTTGCTTTATTATAAAATCTGTTTTTATGTGTTGTTGGGACAACAACACACACACAAAAAAACACATTTATAATTTTTTTATTTTGGTAATTCCACTCATTGCCGGAAACCCACACAAAACAGTAAGAGCGATGTAAACGTCATGTTAACGTTGGCGGCGTCAGTCGCACAGTGGACGAGGTGGAAGAGCCAGTAGAACAGAGGCAGCAGTGCACAGGTAAAAACGCATTCGTGTCTTTGAAATTATTCTCCCAACGTGAAATATAAAAGAAAATAACAAATAAAAAATTGCCTACAACTTAAATGTCACTGGTGAAAACAACCTGCATAGACTCATGATGTCTGCACTACTGTCCTATAGTGACCTGCCACATGAGGGGACATGCACACAAACACACACAAACACAAACACACACAAACACACACAAACACAAACACACACCTTCATCATCGTCATTAACCTGAGAACGCGCGGACCACGTTTCCTTCCGTAGTTACTGGGCGGACATCGCTGTCCTCCCGTGCGGCGCGTACATTTTCTCGCGTACGCTGCGTAAACCGCGCTTCCTCCTGTGCGCCTCTAAACCAGAACTAACACCAAGACTAAAACCGGGACTAACCCAGTCCAGGACTAAACCAGAACTAAAATCAGAACTAAAACCAGGTCTAAACCAGGTCTAAACCAGGACTAAACCAGGACTAAACCAGAACTAACACCAGAACTAAAACCAGGACTAACCCATTCCAGAACTAAACTAGGACTAAAGTAGGACTAAAGCAGGTCTAAACCAGGACTAAAATCAGTGATCTCATATATAAAGCATTTCTCTATCAATAATATTTTAAATATGGTTAAGGAAAGACTGGACTTTTTATTGTCTTTAAGTAGACAAAAGTTATTATGTTCAGATTTCCTCGTCTTTGCTACTTTACATCAAACAGTTTCTTATTCATGGAGACTTGGGCTCAACAGCCAATTTGGAGAGATTTGTTAAACAATAAATGACTTTATAAAGTCACTTTTTTTTTGTTCTATATCAGTCTTTTGATCTGCCACAATAATGTAATAATGAATTTAAATGAAAATACCTCAAATTCAAGGCTTTTCTCAGCAATTTTTAGGTGAGATTAAAAAGAGATTAATTAGATTAATTAATTACAGATCATAATTAATTAATCTCTCAATTTTTTTAATCGCATGACAGCACTAATTTAAATAACTTTTTTACCTGTTTATTTGAGAGAATTCTGAACGTCATCTTCTCCTTAAGGTGTAACTTTTACATCACCATCTCTGGTTATGTGACTATTTACAGTAAACATGTGATATTTTATCACATTTCATCACAATCCTTTATTCTTTCAGAAAACTAGAGAAAATACAGTGAAAATACACACAGTAGCAACTTTAGCGCTTCAAAAATACAACATTTTTTGGTGCTCACCAGTGGGTTAGAGCAAAATCTTTTTCAAACTGTGGGTGAAAATCCAAGCCTAAATTTCCTTAAACAAAGAAATGTGACCATTTTATAGGCAGACAATCCCATGATGACAATGTAGACTATGTAGACAGGAGAAGGAAGTCAAGTGAAACATGTGTTACATGTGTTATATTTTTCGACAGTAATAGTAGTAAATATATTACGTGGAACTAGAAATGGATATTGTATTCTACTTCCACTAGGCCTAAATGTCTCACCTAAATACCCAAAACAGAATGCAGTGTAGCTTGGATCAAACTGTGAATGTATAGTTCAGTGGACCAGCACCCATAATACTATAAGCTAAATGAGTCCATAAGTCACCAATAAACACTGTTACATAACAGACACATAACACATTTAAATCACCATGTTACCCTTCAATAATAGTATAATATAATAGTAAATAAATATGAATAATAATAAATATAATATAAAAGTAAATAAAACTTAATTGTATAATAGTAGAACATTGTATAATAGTAGAAAATGTTTCTTATAATTGTATAAAACATGTTAATATGTTGTTTTGGATCAAGTTTTAATGAGTCCCCCCTCCCTTTGCTCTGTGAGTCAAGTCACCCCCCCTTCAGAGCACTATCACAACACAATCAGTGTGCATCACACTAATGAAACTCCTGCACATCACATCAGGTTTGTGAAGTTGTTGTGTACAGTTTTGTGTCGTGTTTTTGTATATTTATGGAGATTTGTCATGTGGGAGCGTGGGTGACGTAGGCTTACATAAAAGGGTTTGGATAAGACCTGGGAGAGATCGCTAGATTACTCAGATATGCATGGATGACATCTAAAACCTCTGCAGGCATGGTTTTGATGGGTTAACAACATTTTAGAAACCTAAAAGCAATCAGTTTTACATAATACCCCCTCTTTACAAAACAGTGAATCTCCTGTAGAGTTATATAGGCCCTGCCCTCTGTCTGAAATTATGACATCATCAAATTCTATAACATGAACCTAACCGATTGAATTTTTTATTGCAGTTCATCCTCAGCCCAATACCTTGCTTTCCAATCATGCGTCCCATTATGAGATGTGCTTGTAGACTGCGTGTTGTTTTTCCGATGGCGTTCTTGACAAAAGAGGGTCAATGTGGCGCATCTGTTAACAGGACACGCTTAATTGACTTTGTATTGATCTGAGCTCAAACTGCTACACACTGCACTATGGCCTTTGTGTATTTATGAGGACATGTAGTGACTGTAGTTTGCATTCTCCCTGTCTTTACCGACACCACCAAATTATTTCCAGGCTTGTGGATTTCAATTTAAAATCTGTTGTAATAAATGTAACCAATATGGCACTAAAACTATTCAGGAAATCTTCAATTTGTCCTGTGAATGTGATTCTGTGTAGTATCAATACCTGCTCAAATGAGTTTATAGTTTCAATATTGGTTTTACTATCAGATTTTTGATCAATTAATTAATTGATAAATAAATAAATAAATAAAAAATAAAAATAAATAAATAATATATATATATATATATATATATATATACATACATATATACACACACACACACACACACACACACACACACACACATATATATATATATATATATATATATATATATATATATATATATATATATATATATATATATATATATATATATATATATATATATATATATATATATATATATACATATATACATATATACATACATATAAATTACATAACACATTCAACATACACAGGCGTTGTGTTCAGATGAATAGACTGTGTGGGACTGTGCATTGTTCAGTGTGTTTTCTCATCTGCACATTATTGCTGATGTTTGCTTTCTGGGCCTTGATGAGAAACGGCTTCACTACAGTTTGTCTCTTTTCCAACATTTCAAAGCACATTTTTATCACCTGATTTGTCTTATATATGTGTAATGTGTGTAATGTGTCTCCTGTTTTCTCAGGACCCTCCCGTTCTCCCTGTGGGACAGTTTAGTGAGAAGTTTGTTCACTTCGTCACTCAGTGGTAAGTACCTTGGATAAAGTTTAACTATATTTGGAGAGGGTAATTCTTTACTGGTCAAAATGGCTTTAGTTAAGTGTATACAAATAGTCTGTCTGTGTTAAGCCAGTTAGCCCAGTGTGTCAGCTCTGTCCAAAAATATTAAGTATACTTCACTTTAAATCTATTAAAGGAACAATGTGCACCTTGTGCTTTTATAGTTTGAGCAAAAGAACTACAATTGAGCCTGTGTTGCCAGAGCCTTAACCTGCAGATAGAGATACATCCAGGTTTGTCTCATTCTCAGTATGTGGACAGGCCATGCCTCCTGTGAATGCTCAGAACCTCCACAACTCACTCTCTGAGCTGCAGAGGCTGCACTAGCACTGATGCATGATTGGTGCTGGGGTTCATTCAGTGACCATTCAGATCAGATCTTTTTAGTTTCAGCATTGAAACTGGCAACCCAAATGAGAGAGGCATGTGAGGCTCATTCTGCTTTCTGATTGGATAATCATCTTACGAACCAACGCACCAATTTAAGTAACTTGTCCATCATGCCCCATGTTTTTGTAATTCAGAATAATTCAGCATTACAACTATTATCTGTAAAAATATATTTGATTTGAACATGTTTACCTCAGATCTGTGGACACACTTTAGTCAGGTTTATGATATTTAAGATCAAATCTCTGTTTTATTCATTATTTTCCTTGAGAAACACACTTAATAATGAAAAAGCACTAACAGAAACACCCTACACTACATGCTCTTAGGTCTGTACTTGTCCAAACTGGTCCTATAGATAGAGCATAAGTCAGGTGGTGGTTGTGTGGACATTGTTAATGGCTAGTGTGCGTGCCTTATACTGTACAGAATAGCAGCTCTTATTTATTGTGTGGAAAGAGTTTGGAGGCAGCCTCCTGGCTCCATATTCAGACTAAATAATTGATAAATAATGATAGGGTTACATGAGATGAGTCTATTATAGTCTGATATAATGGGCACAGGACTAAGAGTCCGGTGCACGTGCCTTTGTGTGGTAATGCATTGTGGTTACTCTGCTTTTTATAGTGTTATAAAAAGCTGCTCATTTCTCCCAGTTTATTATTAGGCTGTGTTTACTCAGCATTAGCCTGGATTCATTAGCCTCATGTTACCTTCACACTTACATAAAGTTGTGTGCTGTAAACATGAGTGAGTTAAGCCTCTGATCTTTGTGTAGTCCTGGTTAGTGGATCAGGCCTGGTGCAGTGTGGGTAAATGAGTCCAGTGTCCACTGTAACTGCCCCAAAGCTCAGAGCATCTAATGTAACTCTGCTTTGTTTACAATGAGGATACAGTGTCTGTAAATGTTATATGGGCAACTACTGGTCTCATGTTGTACTGTGTAAAAGAAAGAGTATGTTTCCAGAACAAAGTTCTGGTATTTAGTATTAATCTCTTACATATATTTGGACATTTTTTTGACATTATGTTGTTCATTATAAATCACAAAATTGATCTTAATAGACTTCCTGTTCAAGCAGAACTGCTCTACCTCTTCATTGGTGTGTCATAGTCTTCATCATTTCTGTGTGCTGTATGACATGTATGAACCCTACATGTATTATACAGAGTCGTTTTTAAATAATCAAAGCAAATACAGAGTGTGTGTGCGGGGACAGGGGGTAGGTGAAAGGAGCAGGAGAGCTCACATGAGGAGAGGAATCCTGCACACCACTCATCCTCACAAAAGTGAATTTATTTGGTGCAGTGTTTGAAAGGCTGTGTGGTCTTCTTCAGGCAAATGGTGAAAGGAAGGTAAGAAACCTGACCATCTTAAACAGGACCTGACTGCCCCAGAGGGCAACTGGTCACATTCAAATACACCTTTCAAAACAATACAGTGTCCCAGAATAATCCCCATAGACCAGCCTGAAACCCTAAAAGCCCATTTGACATGATATGTCCTTGTGAGTGACAACAGAGTGTCACATGATGGTTTTGGGTTTAGCAGCGCTACATTCTCTCATACATACAAGTGTTTTTCAGTTTGTATCACGCACACTTGCCATAGAAATTTTTATTTCTTAATCAGGCATCAGTAAACTTTCCAAACAACTGAAAGCAATTAAATACATGAGACTAAAGTAACACTTAGGCACATTTCTAATATTCACATGAGTTTGAGGCCGTGCACACAGCTTTAGAACAGCTTTGTTCACATGGAAATGAAACAGGAGTGGACAGCTAATGCACAGCCAACACATGACATATGCAGCTCTTTACTTGAAGTATTTTACAGTTCTTTTACAGTTGGATGCAGACAGTGCACAGCAGTCTGATTTCTTCAGAGCATACTGCTTTTACAATACAGCCTTATTTACAAGAATACTGCGGGTACCTCACATTTAATGGAGACTAGTGAGTAGACCAATAAAAAAAAATAAGAAACTTTTAATACAAATTGCCATCTTACTGTATGGCTAATGAACTTAATTGCACATTTGCTCTGATAATTATTTCTTTTTTTTATTTCTTTTTTGCTGCAGTCAAGTTCTACATAATCATATCCAATGGTTCACATTTAGTTTGAAAATTCTGCATAATAAAGTTTTGATTGCCTTTGGTTCTTTTATGTGGGAAAAGTTACAAATAGTTGGATTGAATCATAAAGTTTTAATTTGTGTGCACATATTTAATTAAATAATGAAAGAGTGTATTCAAAGAGTATTCGGCGTCAGAAACAAAAGAAAGTATGTTTTTGAATGAAGGCCACCACAAAGCGTGTCTGTGCTACCAGCTCCGCTCAATTCTGACTACTTGTGTTTTCTTTCAGTATGAGACGCCAGCCTAAAGAGCGGCCTGCCCCCAATAACCTCATGGTAAGTCAATCCAAGTCTTCTATTAAACATCTATTCTATTAAAATCTCCTTTGTCCCACTGTACAAAAGCAGTCATCAGATACTTGCATTCCAACGCACAAATTGAAATTATCGTCATTTTGAAACCTTTGTGATAAATTAGTGTTACATTAACGGGTGAGGTGTTCAGGTGAAGGATTCTAAAATTTAAAAATGATAATGTGTTTAAAGCTTGAATGAAACGTGACATAAAGGGTCGATGTGGAAACCTTGGCTGCTCTTTGAAAACTACTTGAGTAACTATGGATGAGATTCTGTGCTTTGAATGTGCCTCCACACAAGAGTCACAGCATTGTAGCTGACTCAAATGAAGTTCAGCAAAAGCACAAAAACATCTCTACCCATCGTGCCGTTCTGTTGTCTCTATTCACACTGTTAAAACTAATGCATACTACCAGCTATACAAGAACTACTTTACCGGTGATCATGATTATAATGAGTATGTATAATGAAGTATCAGCAGCAGTAGAATATAACAGAAGACGGTATTTTAAATAAATAAGGCTTAGAATTAATCTGTTTAAAATGAAAATCACATATTGTCAAGATGTACTAAAAGGTGCAGTACTTTTCAGGTGAGAGTCTACTTCATGTCACTATAGATGTTATTGTGTAGCCCGGCATGTCCCACACTGCAGCATTAACTATTCAATTTATTAAAAGCTGACATATTGTGCTTGTGTCTGCTTTATAGTTCTCATCTATAATGGCACCCGGAGATCATTATGTTAATATTTGAAATCACAATATTCATCTAAAACAACTGAATACAAAACAAAAAAGTTTGCTGACTTCCACGTTAGAAAACTGTTTGTATTATCAGTTAAAATAAAATTAGAGAACAAAGTAAATACAGAGCAGTGGGTGCGAAAATGGGAGTAGATCAGTAAAAAAATATTAAACATTGCTTAAACATGCACAATTTACTCCAAATACAACTTCAGAGGGTCAAATGAGAAAAGGAAACTACTATAACATAATAATATAAACCATAACACTGGTCCGTCAAAAAGAACCTTTATTTGGATATAACAGAAAGCTCTAAAAATGTGATTTTGCAGAATAGGTCTGCTGTAAACATCCACTCTTACTGTGATCGGGATCGTCTGTCTACAGATCTGACCCGTAACTTTGCCTGAAGGTGGCTGTCCACAGGGAGGTAGATAAGTTAATGCCATACTGTGGAACATTCTTGGCAAAGAAATAACATCTTCATGAAACAAGCAAGTGGGCCTTTACCAGAAAAGTTACGTGTAGTGGAACTTAAAAAATATATACATGTAAATAACATCAAGATACACAATATTCTGAGGTTAAGAGACTTGTTCTAGTACCCAAATACACCTTTTGATAAACTCCAGTGTGCTCTCTACGGCTGCATGATTTGGGAAAAATATCTTAATGTGATTTTCTAACAAGCATTGAGATTGCGTTTTTATCTTTTGTGTTTTAATAATAGGATTATGTCTTCATTATGTTTAAATTTTAAACACGTCTAGAAGACATAACAAACTAATCCAAGGATCACATCTCAGAACATGTTCTAAACTACAGGGTTAGCAGTTGTTTTTATGCACAGCAAGATTGGAGATGTTGTTTGTGGAGGAAATCTTGATACTTCAGAAATCACAATCTTTGGGAATGACTTCTATTCAAATTGTGATGTTGATTTGATTACAGTTAGTCTTGCAGCTCTTGTACTCTCCTCTTCTTTGAGCATGTTGCAAAATTTAGAGAATACAGTTAGAAAATACTTACACTTTAAAATACTACTGGAGTTGAACTAAATACCCTGAGTTTTATTGAGGTGTGGTGTAAAGATGTAGAGAAGAAGACCAGGAGAGGAGAGTTCAGGCAGCTGTCAGGACCTCGGACAGCGCTGGGGCCTCACTGGAGAAGAGTGTGAAGGCAGCTCACATGTCTCAGTCTCACAGCAGCTCCTCTGACTGCTGCTCTGCACTCATCTGTCCACAACCAACACAACAAAACTGATGTCTGATGTATTTTAGGAGGAAGACACATTACAAACAGTGGTGAGCACTATATCCAAATCATCCATGGATTTTTTTTCTTTTTTTTTTTAAGATATGGAACTTTAGAATGTAGCTTATTGTCTAAATCATATATATAAAGAAAAAATAAAATAAAAAGGGGGGGAGACAAAAAAAACCCTAAAGGGGCACATTGTAACATTTCAAATGCAGGGTCCACCACCAGAGAGACTTATTTTCACAGTATTAAGCCTATCTAACATGCATATATTCAATCACTGGTGTTTATATTTCTCCATAATACTTTTAAAAATTCTTACACCTCTCCACAGATCTGACCTGTATATTGTGACTGGTGCCATCACCTTCTTGTCTCTATGGAGATGGATAAGTTAGGTGCCGTACTATGGAACATTACAGACAAAGCAACAAAATCCCCGTGGACATAAAGGTGGTGAGCCCTACTATAAAAGTTACATAGTGCATCTTTAGATCAGGTCAGATTTAGCCTGTTTCTCATGGACTGCCAAAAATATTTACATTGTCGTTGTTAAGGAATTTAAAAATGTATATTGTGAGATTAATTTCTGTAGGGTTGTGCAATTTATCTAGTTATAATTGAATTCAGGACTTTGTTTTCCAAATTGTCCATGACCAGTCTGAATTTTTAATAGAGAGGTCTACACCCAATCCTTTGTCAGAGGAAGCATGTGGTTTGAAAAAGAAAGAAGAGATGTGATCATATTGTTGTGTTACATGTCTCTGTCATAAAAATAGTTGTTTTTAGTAAGAGGAGAAGCATTGTGATTAGTGTTTGGCCCTGTGTCCAGCCCCATAGTCCACTCAGAACAATCGTTCAGACACACTTGAAGCACCATTTGGATGCTCATGTTCACTATGTGGCTCCTCCGCACTCACAGACTCCATCTTGTTTGTCTCCTCATTTGAGTGTGGAGCTGATCCTCTGGAGTACATTAAAAGCCTTTACCTATTCTATCTGTATGTTAATGTGCCTGTGAGACGGCCACACTGCTCGTGTACAAACACATGCACACGCACACACACCCACACACACGCACACACACCCACACATACAATGCTCTCCTGCTCACAGCTCTGCTTGTGTATGAGCACACACACACACACAGTGAGCAGGTCTAATCATCTTAAAGCAGTGTTGGTTCCATACTGCTTACATGCTCATTGGTCTCTGTAGATTATGTTGTCTTACCTTGGACAGTTCAAAGTCTTATCTCATCACATCTTTAAAGCTACGCAACACTGGATCTTCTTGGATGGAGACCACTGGGAACTAGGGATGTCCCAATTCAGTTTTTCTCTTTTTTTTTTTTTTTTTTTTTTTTCATGGCTGCCAAAACTGATTTTTAAATATCATGCAGATACTGATCTGATACCAGTAATCTTCTAATCTTGAACTATTTATTTACACACTGCAGGCTATGCCTTCACAAATAATGAAGTATTCCACGGTTCAGTTAGGCACAGTTGATGAAAAGGATCAGCAGCTATAAAAAAGCCTAATTAAACATAATTAAACATACCCTAAGAATTAGCTGTAATGCTGTAAAATAAAGTGTTAAACTCCTCCACAGTGTAGCAGCTTCAGATTACAGTGACAGAGACATTAGGTGATGTTTAATCTCACTATTTCTAAAGCCTGTGTGTTTTTTCCCCATAGTATTTATGTGTAAGGCCTGTAAAAAGACACATGGTACTGAACATATGTACATCTGTTAGCCTCAGTCTGAGTTAGCTGCAGTGTTAGCGTTGACATCTGCAGGACACTGTATGCTGTTTTGCCCATTTATTCACCAAATCTGATCCATGCTGATACTCTAAAAATGTCTAGATGGGCAGCTGATACCAGTGTCGGAGCAGGACATCCTGGCTGGTAATACCAGGTGCTACAGCAGTGGCTCTAGTGCCAACACTTCACCTGTATTGCCTAATCCGTTGGTGTTTGCATGTGTGTCGGTGGTCAAAGGAGCCAATGGCACAGACTGGTAACCTCACGTCCATCAGTCTACTCTAGGGTGTCTGAGGTAGTGAATAAATAATGCACTGTAAAGCATCTGTGTCCAAAAATGTATCATTATTACAAAAGTGTTTGATCAAAACCTAATAGGTTTTGTTTTGACCAATATTTCCAAGGGCAAAAACTCAAACTGCTGTCTTCCCCCGTTCCTCTTAGTCTGTGTCTTTCCTCTGCCTCCTCTTCAACACAGTGAGTTGCGTCCTCGTGCATGATTGATGGACACTCTAGCCTGTCATCTCGGCCTGTCCTGACGTCTTTGGGCTGGACACTTTCCACTGGCCATGGTCCCCAGGGTCACAGAGGGCTGTGGGTCTGACCCGTGCTGCTGAGGTTTCCAGGGTTTGTCTTGTTCTGTGTAAACCTGGTGTGGTTATATCCTAGCGGCGTCTGCTGTGCCCACAGTACTATGGTCAGAGAAAATGGGTGACTTCAGAATGTGCAGCTGACTGGACGTGTCATTGAAGACTGTTCTTTTTTCTCTCGCAGGGCAAATACTGCTGTGGATTTTGTTAGACACATTTTGCTCTCTGTTTTTGGTTTGGTTTATCTGCCGATATTAACCGATTTCAGTGTAGGGATGAAAAATGGTGCTTATTTTCTTAAAACACCACTAACTATCTAACTGTGTTATGTGACTCTTATTTAACCTTCAAATCAACAGGTTACAAGCCCCGTCATTTACAGTATCTAGCAATAGCAGTGATCTATGGGCGCTGATATTCAATACCAGTATCAGTATCAGTGCATCTGTACACACTAAGTTCCATTCAAAAGCATCTGTACTTGACAGTGTAGCCTTTTAGACTGGCAGGCCTGTGCTGTTCTTCCAGAGCAGGCCAACAGGAGATCTCCACACTAGAGTTAACAAATATGTGTTAAACAAGTCTTTTCTGTCTCTGTTACTCGAGCATAGT